AACGCTTCTCGGTTATCCAATCTCCCTAAATCTCACTTCCTCACCAAAGTAGAAATTTTCTATGAGCCAGATTAACAGTTTAAATAGGTTGAGTTATTATACATTTTTAACGAAAATAATAGGCAATCTAAAATCATATTTTAGATTAATTTTATGCATATAACATTTCAGTTTGGAAGTATATATTTTTGCTAGAAAAAATAAGAATTCCTAACGGTATCTTAGTGTCACTAAAATTATACACAAAATTTGGGCAACTTTGTTCTTAGTAATTACTGGGGCCCTAAATTTTTAAATAACAAGAGAGGAGAGTCCAAATTTTAATAACTATGAGCTACAAGGATTAAAAAATTGGGCAACTACTCATAACAAAAAGTACATTGATTTTTACAGTACATTTTAAAGACAGTGACTTAAAAAAATGAGGGCTCGCTTATTTACAAAATAATCCGTCCAAAATGAGTTGTTTTGGTTAACTAGAGTTAATTTTGAAAAATGTGGTATGGTTAGTTGTTAGTGGGATTTTAAAAATGTATTAAAATAATATTTAAAATAAAATAATTAAAATTGATTTGATGTAAAAGTATGAGATAAATGATTGAGAATTATAGGTAGTTAAAATTATGTGAGTGGATGAATAATGAATTAAAGTTGATGTGATGTGTAAGAATGATTGAGTTGTATTTATTAATTATATGAATAATATTAAAGATAATGAGGTTGAGTTAAAGTTGAGTTGGATTTTGAGTATGAATTAAAAGTGAGTGAAATAATTGATAAACAAGTGTGCCCTGAGTAATGCTGTATATTGATTTTACAGTACATTTTAAAGACCGTGATTTCAAAAAATGAGTAATGCTATTTAGCCTACTTGGATGACAATTTGAGTTACAACTTAAGTATAATTGCATTATCAAAAAAATTAAAAAAATAATACATTTACACTTGAGTTGTAACTCAAGTTTAGGGGTGGGCACGGTCCGGGACGGTCCGGGATTGGACCTGTCCCGGTACCTGTCCCGGTTTTTTGAACCGGTCCGGGACCAGTCCGGGACGACACCTCGTCCCAAACGGAACGGTATCAACCGAGACCGGGACAAAACGGTTCGGGACCGGGACAAAACGGGAAAAAAAATGTTCAAAAATCAAACTTCAAACTAAACTATTCCGGGAATAGTTTAGTTTGAAAGGAAAAAATAAATAAAAATAAAAGCAGAGAAGAGTGAAAGGAAAAAAAATAAAGAAAAACCTGTTAAGATTTCATTAATAAATATAAATTAATGTATAATGTATATATATATATATAATATTTTTGTACAAAAAAAATACAACGGGACAAACGGGACGGTTCGGGAAAAAAATATTAAAAACCGATACCGACATTGTTTCAACCGGTTCGGGACCGGGACCGGGACGAAAATTTTAAAAACCGATTACAACCCTATTTTTTCGGAACGGGACCATTTCGGTCCGGTTCGGGATCGGGAAATCCGGTTTTTTTGCCCACCCCTACTCAAGTTATCGTTCAAGTGGGCTCTATAGCATTCCTCTTTAAAAATATGGACTTTGCATTTTTCTTTCAAACAATATAACCATATAACTCAAGAACGAAACAAAGCATATCAAGGCTATATGGAGAACGTTATACATTTTACTTGTGATATCTTCTTTTTAGTAAATAAGATTACTTTTTTAATGAAATCATATACTCTTAATGATAATGCAGACAAATATATAATATTATACGCTATAAACATGTAATTTATTTTTATTTACAATATTATAAACTATAGAAATGTAATTTTATATAATATATCATCATGGATCTATCTGACTAAATTAGAACTAGTAGATTTTGAGTAGTAAAAAAAATTATTACTAGGTAATGAATAAACACATATTATCTGTTTGTATAACATTGAAATATACAAATAGAACAAACAAGGATAATAAAAGAAAAAAAGAAAGAAAAAAAAATCGTTTTCACTTGACCAATAGGAAATAACTCCTCTCTGGCACTTTATGCTTCTGTTTATACTTTATGCCATTCAATTTCAGGTTTTACCACAATTTTTCATCAAGTAAATGAATAAATAAATAATAAATAAAAGAGAGAGAGAAAATAAGTATAATATCATGGCCCATTAGTCACCACCA